CATAAGTGCCACCAAAGAGATAGTGGGGAACCAGGTGGTGCCAACCCCTGGTGGAGCTTCAGAAGCCATGAAGGACGATATATTGAAGGCCATAGTGGACGTTAGATCGGGACTGGAGGCTCCAGCTTGGTCTGAGGTGGTCAAGAAGAGCAAAAGAAATAATCAGGCACAACCTGCTCCTAAGAATGAGAACCAACGGCGTCGACGAGGAACCGTCCTCCAGCTACTTCATTTAAATCAAGAGTCCGCCCACCGGCCATTATGGTCAACGTTAATAAAGAGGACTTTCCCCAACTCGCGAGGAGAATTAGGGGTGGAGTTGACGGTGAAATCATCGGCAGCCACATTGTGGGCATGCGTCAAGCCAAATCGGGTGGCTTGCTAATCACCCTTAACGGAGATCGCGAACAGGTGGAAAAAGTTCGAGCCGAGATCGCAAGATCTGCCGGTGACGTAGTCGAGGTTAAATCGCTCCAACAAAGACAGACTTTGGAGATACGTGATCTCGACGAATGGACCGACAAAGACGAGGTCGTCGAAGCGATTAGCCGGCAAACAGAGATTCCTGTAGACCTAGTGAAGGTATTGTCTTTGAGGAAGAAATTCGGAGGTGCTCAGGCGGCCATCGTCTCGGTCCCTCTAGACTCTGCCACGAAAATCATTAACAAGGAGCGTCTGCGCATCGGTATGGTCAGCTGCAGAGTCCGTATTGCTGAGGGAAAAATAAGGTGTTTCAGGTGTCTTTCATTTGGACACACTTCGTCCTCTTGTAAAGGCCCAGATAGAAGTGACTGCTGCAGACGCTGCGGAGTGACCGGCCACAAGGCGGTCGCCTGTAAGGCTCCTGCCTCGGATATTGACGCTTTCGCCAAGTTACTGGGCGCGGTACAGGAGTCAATCGAGCAGCCATGATGTCTTCAGACCGAAGTAACTCTCCGGGAGCAGTCCCTCCTACCGGAATGAAAGTGGTTCAAATAAACCTAAACCACTGTTGGGCGGCGCAACAACTGCTGCTCCAGACCATCACCGAAGTCGACGCAACGATCGTCCTGATTAGCGACTACCACCGACCAATGGGCGATAACGACCGGTGGATTCAGAGTACCGACGGAAAGTGCGCCATATTCGTCGCGGGCAACCAACGTCCGGCGGTGACCGATCGCGGAGCTGGCATGGGCTTCGCTTGGGCTAGAGTCGAGGACATCTTGTTCTATAACTGCTACTGCAGCCCTAACTGCACGACACACGTCTTTGACGCATTTCTCGATGGTCTCGAAGCGTCAATCCGCAACGACTCTGCAAGTCAGGATAACCTCATCGTGGCTGGCGATTTTAACTCGCACTCTGCTGGATGGGGCTCAGACACGGACGACTTGCGAGGGGCTCTCCTATCGGACCTCGCTGCGTCACTCGGGATGACGGTCTGCAACACAGGAACCACGCCGACGTACAGGAGGGTGAATGCGGCTTCAGTCATCGACGTTACTATGGCGAAGTCCCTACCGAGCAACCATCAACTAGTCAGAGATTGGAGGGTACTCGAAGATTACACTGCGAGCGACCACATGTATATCACATACACCGTAGTATCGCCAAAGGCTCGCGGCTACACACGTGGCCCTGCAAGAGGCTCGGTAGCCGGCTGGTCAACCAGAAAGCTGGACCCAAAGATGTTGGGCATCTTTTGGGACCTCGTAGGTGCTCCCCCAAGGCTGCCTCCAGCCGCGACCCCCGACTGCCATGCCGATCGTCTGAATCACATTCTGACCACCGCATGCGAAGCCACGATGCCAAAAAGGGCCGCCCTGAATGGGAAGAGGCCTGTCCATTGGTGGAGCAGAGACATTGCAGATCTGCGCAAGACTGCAATAGCTGCCCGCCGGTGCTACCAGCGCGCCGGTCGCAGATCACCGGTGACGACGCGCGAAGCTGAAAGGGAGGCGTATAAAAAGGCGAAAGCTGATCTCAAGCGTGCGATCAGGAGTGCCCAGGAGAAAAGCTGGAAAGACCTTTGCCTCACTGTCGACAACGACCCCTGGGGAGTCCCGTACAGGCTGGTGACGAAAAGGTTGGGTCTCCACACACCTAACTTGGATCGGGACCTCAGAGCTAGCGTGGCTCGCGGACTTTTCCCGGCACTACCACCCACGGTCTGGGAACACATCCCCCTGGTAGTACAGCAACCTGCACTCCTGGTCGAAACATCAGATGCGCTTACCTCGGTGCCCCTGATAACCGCCGAAGAAGTGGGCCGTGCTGTCGCCAGGCTACCACTGGGCAAGGCACCGGGACCCGACCTCGTGCCGAACGAGATTATTCGGCCAGCATTCGGCAGGTTTCCCGAGGTCTTTGTGGATTGCTACAACGCGTGCCTGGCAAACGGGGTTTTTCCGCTGAGATGGAAGCGCGCGAGGTTGGTTCTACTGCCAAAAGGGCAAGGTAAACCACCGAACCTCCCGTCCAGCTACCGACCGATAAGCCTGCTGGATGGGGCCGGCAAGGTGTTTGAAAGAGTGCTGCTCAACAGGCTGGAGTCGCACATCGCAAGAGCCGGAGCAGTCAGTGACACGCAGTACGGGTTCAGACGAGCAAGGTCTACCACCGACGCGATCGAGGACGTCCTGAAAGCGGCCCATGGTGCCAACCGGGGGCCGGTACAGGACAGGCATCTGTGCGTTCTCGTCTCTTTGGACGTCAGAAACGCCTTCAACTCGGCGCCGTGGACCCTGATCGACGAGGCACTGCGTAGATCTGCTGCTCCGGAGTATCTGATCAAGGTGCTCAGATCGTATATGTACGGGCGAAGCCTTTTGGTTGACGGCGACATCCACATGCCGGTCACATGCGGTGTCCCACAGGGTTCGGTTCTCGGGCCGTCCCTATGGAACATTTTCTACGATGGTGTACTGCGGCTCCCTACTTGAGAAGGGGTTCGAATAATCGCGTTTGCGGACGATGTGGCGGTCGTGGCGGTGGCTCACAACACCGAGCTCATCGAGGAGGTATTGAACCCGACTCTTAAAGACATTGGAATATGGATGGCGTCTAACGGCCTTCAGCTGGCACCGGAGAAGTCGGAGCGCGTCGTCCTGTCCAAAAAACATTCGTACCGCGAGCCAAGGTTGATCGTCCAGGGGTGTCAGGTCCCGGTCAGGCGTTCGGTGAGGTACCTGGGAGTCCAACTGGACACCCGATTGTCGTTCGTCGAACACGCCGGCGCAGCGGCAGCGGGAGCGAAGAAGGCGGTGACTGCTCTGGGGAGACTTATGCCCAACGTCGGAGGCCCGTCCCAATGTAAACGTAGCCTGCTCATAGCCGGCTGCTTTACGGTGCGGCGATCTGGTCGTAGCGGGTCATGGAAACCCAAAAGAGCAGGAATCTCCTTCTTCAAGCACAGAGAGGTGCAGCACTTAGAGTAGCAAGGTGCTATCGTACGGTGTCGGACATGGCTGCTCTCGTGCTGGCCAGGATGCCTCCCGTATTCCTGCAGGCTGCCAGCAGGAAAGACGCGGCGTTGGCAAAGAGAACCGGTACCGAGTTATCGAAACGCCAGACGACTGCCGTGATTATCAGGCAATGGCAGGAAATGTGGGAGTCTACGACAAAAGCGGGATGGACGAGGCGGCTGATCCCGGACCTGTCCAGATGGTGGAACCAGGGACCGAGGTCGGTGAGTTTCCACATGGCGCAGGCTCTCACGGGACATGGATGTTTCCAGAAATACCTGTGGTCAAAGGGCAGAGTGCGCAGCTCGGCTTGCCCTCACTGCCCGTCCGAGTTGGATGACGCAGAACATACATTGTTTATATGTATGTACTGGAATCTCGAGCGTCGCGACCTGGTGCTGTTCCTGGGAAGACATCCTTGCCCTGAGGATGTGGCGGACCTTCTGTGGGGACCATCTGCGGAAGAGCTACCCACGGATATGAAGCTGACGAAAAGGATCATGGAGGCAGCTGTCCAACAAAGGGAGCTTTTCGTCCGGATGGTAGAGGAAATCATTGGCCGGAAGGAGGAGCTAGAGAGGGAGAGGCAGAAAGAAGAAAGAAGTGTTTCCACTTAGTTAAGTTGACTTCTGTGGGCTGAATGGCCAAAACTAGGGTGGTTAGAGGCCCCCATGTTATGTATTTATATATATTGTTTATACCATATGTAATTTGTATGTATTGTGTATTTCATTTTCAATAAATGATGCTGCCAGGGAGGCCGTAATGGGGAAACCTAATTCCCTCCCTGGTTAGCGGTAAAAAAAAAAAAAAAGTTTAGGTTAGGTTAGGTTAGGTTATGTTAGGTTAGGTTAGGTTCCCCCTCGACGGGACCCACCTTGCCGTGGTGGGGGGGCTCACCGACTCCGGTCGGTGCCAAGAGGTACCCAACCCGCCCTGACTTTAACTAGTTGGGGTCGTCAAAGAGCCGCCTCTGACCTTAATTGGTTGGGGGTGGTAGGTATTGCAACCACCTGCTACCAACAGCAAAAGGGCACAGAAGGAAAACTGTAATCCTCACCGCCGGGACGTAAAAACCCCCGGCAAACCCTGAAACTTCATGATGGAAGACAAAATGAACGTTAAAGGTACTGCTCCAGGGGGCTCGGATATCCCCCAGGAGCCTACTTCACTGAAACAGCAAGGGAGTTCAGTGGGGTCGAGCTGCGATCCCAAGACCACCGGCGTTCCTTCACAGGCGTCGGTGGGCACTCACGTGAGTGACAACTGGAGAAAACGGAACTACCTACGACTAAACAAAAATTGGAAAAGACTACGCTGGCACAGAAGCTGAAGGTCGCGTCCACAGCTGATGTCCCGAGCGTTGAGGTAGGAAACACACAATTCCTCCGACACCTGGAGGCGGTGTATTCAACCTCCAGAAAGTTGGATGAAGAGGTGGCTGCAGCAGTCAACACAAAAAAAGAGATAAAGGCACTTGTCGCGACTTTAGCGAATGCGACAAGGGGTCTGATCAAATGGGGGAAGTTAAGCGGTCGAGTAGAGCCGAAGTAAATGATTAGCAGAACGACCCAAATTAAAATAGGAGAATTCGGTGAGGGCAGCCAAACCCCGGTATTAGAGGAACACTCGAAGAAGGTGGAAGAATACGCTGCGGATTCCCCGGACCGAACGAAACTTCAAATGGCTGCGATAGTCCAGTGTCTGAAGGATTCCTTCAAAGAAACACTGGACGCCCAAACTGAAGCAATTTCAAAACTTGTTGTTGCAACTGAAACACTTCAGCTGCAACACAAAAAGTTCGGCGAAGAGCACCAGCAGCAGAATCAGCAGCAGAAGCAACAGCAGCAGCAGCGTTCGACCATGGGACAAGGCAAAATACCTCAGAAGAAGACCACGAAGAGAATAGAACAGGAGCCTTCGCAGCAACCCCAGCAACGGCAGCAGCCACAACAGCAGCTGCAACAACAGCCGCAACAGCAACAACAGCAACAACCACAACCGGGGCAAGAATGGGAAGTGGTGAAGAAGAAAGGAAGGCGGAGGAAAGATACTGGCGGCGAAATCAGGTTGTGAACAGGACAGTGAACGAGACAGAGATGCGGAAGAGACAGCAGGTGGTCAGGGTCCCCAGGACTCAGGCAGTGACTGTCGGGCCTCCCCGGGATGGGGAAACTTACGCCTTAATTATGAGCAGGGTCACCACAGCGGTGAACCTTCAAGAGTTGGGAGTGGAAGTCATCGGGGCGCGAAAAACAAAGTCCGGCGCCATCCTCCTGGAGGTTAAAGGAGGAGCGGAAAAGGCGGACGCGCTCGCGAGGGACCTCAGGGAGAAATTGGGCGAAGAGGCGCGGATTGGGCGCCCGGAGAAGACGCGGCCAGTCCTCATCCTCGGCATCCCGGAATGGGTCGACAAGGAGGAGGTCATGGCGGTGGTCAACGGGGAGAGTGGCACTCCGGAGAGGAGGTTACGGATGACGCTCAAACCGGGAACCAGAGGAAGTAGCACTGCGCATGTTGAAGTACCGGCCAGAGAAGCAAAGGCGCTACAAACTAAAGGTAGGATAAAAATCGGATGGACAGTCTGCAGGGTGAAGGTTTTGGATGCGTACCAGCCCAGGTGCTTCAGGTGCCTCGAGACGGGTCACCTAGCCGCGGAATGCAAGGGTCCGGACCGGAAGGATTGCTGCCTCAGGTGTCGGCTCCCGGGTCACCGCACAGCCAGCTGCGACGCACCGCCAGCCGATCGAAGGACACCGGCAGGCGGGATGCAAGAGGAGGAGCCCCGGAAGGGCGCTACCGATCCTGCGCCAGCGCGGGATTGAGGGTCAGGCAGATCAATCTGAACCACTGCAGGCAGGCCCAAGACCTGCTAATGCAGTCGGTTTCGGAGGACAGGGTGGATGTGGTACTTGCGACCGACCCCCACGGGGTATCCCACGGCGAGGGTGGATGGTTGACCGATTCTGGAACCGGGAGAGCGGCGATCGGAGTGTTCGGCCCTAGGGTGACGGTTGCAATCATCACGAGAGACGCGGAGTTTGTGGCCGCAAGGCTCCAAGGTGAGTTGTACGCCTACAGCTGCTATGTCTCCCCGCGACATGCGCTGCCCCATTTCACCGACTTTCTCCAACGTCTGGAGAGTAGCATCCGGAGTCTGGAAGCGGGCGCCAAAATCACCGTGGCCGGGGATTTTAACGCCAGGTCGGCAGTGTGGGGCGACTGGGAAACGTGCCCGAGGGGGAACGAGCTGGTTGCGCTGGTGGATTCGTTAGGAATGTCCATACTCAACTCCGGATCTGAGCCCACTTTCGTTGGTAGAGGAGCGGGGTCGATAGTTGACCTAACTTTTGTTTCTGAGCCGTTGATGCCGTACGCGAGCGACTGGAAGGTGGACACGGTCAACGACAACGGATCTGACCACCAGACGATTGACTTCCGGATCTCCACCACGCAGAGAGCACTACCCAGGTTAACTCCGAGCCGAAGGTGGGATACGACAAAGGGCATAGACCTGGACCTGTTTGAGGCGGGGCTGATGCTGGCGGAGTGGACGGACACAAGCACTGCGGACCAAGACCTGCACGGGGCCGCCGACGAGTTCGAGCGTAGGGTGACCATGGCCGCCGACCTTTCCGTTTTGCGCAAAGGAGTGCCTAGGGACTGCAAGCCGCCGGCATATTGGTGGAACGGCGAGATCGCAGCCCTACGTGCGGCGTGCAACAGATGGAAACGCGAGCTCAGAAGGACCGCATCCCGAGTCGCGAGGAGAAGGGGACCATCATCGCCTACGAACTATGACCGCCCGATGCCGGAGGCCACCCTTCTGGCCTTCAGAGAAGCGCGGAGGGAATTGAAGGCTGCAATACGTAGGAGCAAGGTGCGGTGCTGGGACGATATGGTCCGGACGGTGGACAACGACCCGTGGGGAAGGCCGTACAAGACCGTCCTCAGGAGGCTGGGAGATCCGCCAGCGACGGCTCAAATGGAAGAAGCGACAGTAAGGAGAATCGCCGACGGACTCTTCCCCACGCGCAGCACCGACGTGGGTGACCCGGTGCATGTCACCGAACCGGTAACTCCCTTCACGGCCGACGAATTGAAAGCGGGGATAGTGCGGATCCGTAGTAAAAATAAGGCGCCTGGACCCGACGGGATTAACACGACGCTGCTCGTGGCGGTACATCGTGTCAACCCGGAGTGGATGCTGAAGATATACAATCGCTGTCTGATTTCCGGCACATACCCGAAGAACTGGAAACGTGCCAGACTAGTGCTATTGAGGAAAGGTCAAAAACCGGTGGGGGAGCCGTCCTCATACAGGCCACTGTGCCTCCTTAACGACGTGGGAAAGCTCTTCGAGTACCTGTTGGCGAGGAGGATACAGCAACACGTCGAGGCCAAAGGTGGGCTCTCGCAGCAGCAATTCGGGTTCAGACAGGGGAGGTCGACGTCAGACGCATCCATCGTGCTGAGGGAAACGGCACAGCGATCGATGAACAATTACGAGATGTGTGTCGCCGTCAGTCTTGACATAAAGAATGCTTTTAATTCTATCAGTTGGGGTAACGTGATGGAGGCGCTCAGCAGATGGGACGTCTCTCCACACACGAGGAGACTGCTGCAGGACTACTTCCACGACCGGACGGCGGAGTTCGACTGCCCCAAGTCCAGCGACGGGGGATCAATGCGCGTCAACGTCACGTTTGGTGTTCCACAGGGCTCAGTAATCGGCCCGCTACTGTGGAACATCACCTACGACCAGGTCCTGAAGTCGCAGCTCCCGGAAGGGTCCTCGCTGATCGGGTTTGCCGATGATACTTTGGTGGTGGCGTCGGGCAGGACGAGCGAAGCGACTGAAGAACGAATTAATAGCTCGCTCCAAATCATAGTAGAGAAGATCAACGAACTGGGCCTTGAACTAGCTGTAGAAAAAACGGAAGCGGTAATGTTCAAGAGGAAGTATAAGGACAGGGTCCCTCAAATCTACATCGACGGAGTCAACATACCGACCAGTAGGACCATCAAGTACCTGGGCATGATCGTTGACGACAAACTTAACTTTAAGGAGCACATCAAATCAGTCGCGGACAAGGGCGACAAGATTCTTCAGGCCCTGGCGAGATTGATGCCGAACACCGGCGGCCCCAAGGAACCGAGGAGGAGACTGCTGGTGAGCGTAATTCACTCGGTTCTCCTCTACGGGGCGCCTGTATGGGCAGAGTGCCTGAAGTACTCAAAGGGTTGCGCAGACAGCTTGCTTAGGGTCCAGCGGCGGGCGGCGATCCGTAGCTGTTGCGCGTACAGAACAGTCTCCTATACAGCGGTCAACATTATTGCGGCCATCCCACCAGTAGACCTGATGGCGATGGAGAGAGAGGAAATGCACGCAGACCGCGGGGCCAGCAGAAGAGATTGCAGGGAAAGGACCATGGTGCGTTGGAAGAAGCGAATCGAGACAGCCGAGAAGGGAAGCTGGACCAGGATGGTCATCCCGGACCTGGACGCATGGTGCAACAGACGCCACGGAGTGGTTGACTTCCACCTCACCCAGATGTTAAGCGGTCACGGGTGTTTTGGGGAGTATCTCCACAAGAGGAAAAGGAGGGATGATCCGGGATGTGTCGATTGCGGGGCGGCCAGCGACGATGCGGACCACGTATTCTTTCGGTGCGACCG